TGAAGTAGGGGCCGAGTTTAGATCGGGCCATGTGGATTGTAGAAGTCTGCGATGGTTGTAAATGCAGTGCGTTCGCGATTCGCATTTTTTTTTTTTTTTTTTTTTTTTTTTTATGTTATTCGTAGGGGGATGATAGGTAACTTTCTTTTTAAGATATTATTTGATTTATAAATTTAAGGATGTTACGTAATGGAATGACTCGAGTTTTCAGGAAAAAAAAGAGAATGAAGCATAACTTTTCTTTTCATCCCTTAAAGTCAACGTATCTCTTTTTACCTCTACTCCCAATGTTGTGTGTTTGTATTTTGATTTCATCCCTTGTGAAACTGCAAAAATAAAATTTCAATGTACATGCCATCGATGATTTCTGAATATTTCAAATGCGAAATTTCGTTTTTTCGGGTGTAAATATACATACATATATATATATATTCCGTAGTCAGTTTATGTATACATTAGCAGTCAGGCGCGAGGGATCCATCAGTATAGCGGCAGCAGTCCCGGTCCATCCGAAAACACAGGGTTTATACGTGCTACGTGAGTGTAGCGGGGTGAATTCGATCCTTCCACCCTGTTAATTACGACGAGGGTTGGGAGGGGGATGGAAAAGTGTTTTATTAGCTCCTTTGTGAATGAAATTACGCCACCGGATCGGGGGTGAGCTGCTGTAAATAATAGTGATTTACCTCGGCCGAAATCATTTCGACTCGTCCGTTTTGGCGTGTGTATGTATGCGTACCCATCCCTTTGAGCAGAAATTTGTTGCCCAATATACATTAAATTTCCTTATTCCTCTATCTCGATTGTATTGATTTTTCTAAAAATCGTAGGATATCCCTCAAATGTTAATATCTACTCGATCGTCATTGCAACGCGTCAAAAGAGTCAGTTTTGGGACATACGTACAACTCGAGGAGCTTAATCTCTATTTTTAATCGTGATTTATGCTGTTTTCGAAAAAAAAAAAAAAAAAAAAAACAGCCCAACCAACACCGAGGTAAGGGGAGGCTCTCTTCCGTCGGAAAAATCACAAAAACCATATCGTCTTACTCGCGCTGGATTCCCGAAACCCGGAGGAAAAAAAAAAGGAAGGAGGCTCCCGGGGCGTCGCGTCATCAATTATAATTACTAATAATAAAAAGTAATCTCGCCTCGAAATAAATCTCGGGAGCCGGGAGAAAAGCTCTTCAAGCGTCAAATCGTAAAGCTGTCGCTAATAAATCTCGTTGAAAAAAGTCTCTCTTTCTCTCTCTTACTCCCAAAAAAAAAAAAGAAAAAGAAAACGGAGAAAGAGGGGGGGGGAGACGGATGCGCATATACACGCAGCAACTTCAACGACGACGGTCCCGTTGAGGAAAGTTATATACGCGCACCCATACGTGGGCACGTAAGCGGTGGGCACACGTATACGTAATACACAACACAGTCGAGGGGTTGGTTGTACATATAGATACATACGGTGAAAAGGGCCAGTAAATCAACGTCGCGTCAGGCGACTTTCTCACTCATTGCGATTTACATACGTAAGCTCGCGCGCAGCGCACCTTGAGAGGATCAATTTGTTGTTTTCCCTTCACGGCTGCCCAATCCCTTTGTTTTTCCGCGTGTACAGTGACACACCGCGCGTTTTCACGACTGTACACCGGTGAAAATCCTTGCGCCACGGCGGCTAAAAATTTCCCTTTTTTCTCTCTCTCGGAAAAAATCAAACGAGACAGAAAAGAAGAAGAAGAGAAGGAGGAAGCAGAGAGAGAGAGAGAGAGAGAGAGAGAGGGAGAGAGAAGACACCGCACAAAAGACCGAGTGATTTGTGTCGCTCGCCGTTCTTTTGACCGCGCTCTCTCTTTTTTCTTCTTCTTTTTTTCTCCTTCCCCCGGGCTCCCGTGCTCTCTGCTCCTATGATACGCCCGAGAGGTAATATACGAGTCCTGCATCTGTTCCCCGAGTGACGCAACGTCCCGCCATAGATCACACCCGGGCTTTTAGAGACTGAAGGCTGTTAAGAGCAGCTCCGGCGCGCGGAGGAGCAAGAAAGAAGACGGAGAAGAGAGCTGGGCTGGCTGCTCCCGAGGAAGAGAAGAGACAGACGGGGTGACGTACTGTTACTGTTAAACTAGCTAGCCTTCCCTTCCTCATCCCTTCTTCTTCTCTCTCTCTCTCTCTCTCTCTCTCTCTCTCTCTCTCTCTCTCTCTCTGATGTACTTATACTCTTGCCATTGCAGAAGCGAGGAAAACGGCCTTGTCCGTGTGCGTGTGCGCGTGAGAGGGTGAAACGACCACGAGGTAGGATGAAGAGTGCGGGAGGCTTCTTTATCGCCGGGAGAGACGGGGGAGCGTAAAAAAAACCTTTTGCTTAAAATGAAGAGAAAAATGTTACCGGTCCGGAGGAACGGATAGCTCGCTGGGAGGGACGTTTATGCTCGGGTTAAGATAAGGAGGTCCGCGGATTAGATAATTTCTTGTTCGAGCCTCAATCGGATTGTTGAAACTCTCGTTGTGCCCCACAATGGTATTCAATTACGTTAAATATTCAATTCCACGTATTCAAGTATCAAAGCTTATTCACAAACGCACCCCCTGAAGAAGTAAAGTTGCTCTTGTAAGGCAGAAAAGAAAGATGTGTGTACATCAGTAGTGAAGGAACAGAGGGGGAGAGTCTGCCGGTCGAACAAGAAAGCCGAGGCGAATTTATTGGCCCACCTTGCCGCCTGACCAACCTCGATTGGAATGTACATCGGAACACTCCCTGACTCAGAGGGCTCTCCCTCTCCCTCTTTGGTTGGCTCTCTCTCATCTGCAGTGACAAATCGATGTTAAAAGTTACAATGGCATCATTGATTTTTGCCGCTGTGACTACCGATGCATCGATTTCCGATTTAGTTCCAAGTTCCGTTGATGAAATTTTCGTACTTGTCGCTTGTTTGATCAAAACAAAGCTTGGCCTGGGTTGATCGTCTCTGTAGCATCTACTGATTATGACGAACACGTCTTTCTTGCATATTAATTGTTTTTTTATCAAAAAAATTTAATTTATAATTGACCGATACTGTTGTGGATCCAAATTGTTCATAGGTTTCTCTCACACAAGAGGACACAGTCTTAGTATACCACCTTCGCCGATAGAAATGATTAATCATGTTCAAAGCGTCTCAATTAACTCTTAATGTATGTGGATTAAAATACGAGCAAGCGTTCAATCATTAACGGCTAATAAATGAAGTGTTTGCTTCCAAGTGTCAAATGGTTGAAAAAAAAGATAGTGACGTAATCAAAAACCTATGCTCATCAACTACTACCAATGACTTCAGATAAGTATTTCAAGATAATAGTTTTGCACCGTAGAAATGAGAGAACCGATAAACTAAGCTGTTAGCAAATCTATTTAACTATAAAATAAAATTGACTCCGGCAGTAATAGATGCTAAGTAACAATCTATTGAGCTCCGTATAATTTACAACAAACAAACAAAAAAAAATGAAACGAAAAACGCTTAACCATCAAGGAAAAGGCTCGCAAGCCCGGGCGATTTATTTTTATCATACGATTCGCTTTTTACATCTTCCAATTTTTTCCCCCAAATAATGTCCGTAATAAAAAACGCGAGAGAGGGAGAGACGATAAAACGGATCACAAAGAAAATTTAATACCATAAATCTCCCCAACAGCGATGTCAGTAGCGGAGTAGCAGCGCAAAGTGTGTGTACTATAAAGATCCGCCAAAGAAGAGAGAAACAACGAAAAAAAAGAAAGCAAAAAAAAAAAGGAACAACAGAAAATTTCATCCGGAGAAAACGAGCATCACTAAGAGCAGGCAGGCAGGAGGGTGGTAGGGACGGTGGTGGTACATACAGTTGCAGCCCCCATCGCTAATATAAAGTAAAGTACGGCACTGACGCACCGAGCGAAGCCCATCGAGACGAGATATATGTGTATTGCCGAGCACACCCCCCTTCCTCCCCGAACGGTATCCGAGACCAAGGCAAGATCACTTGCGCGAGACAAACTCGTGTATTATTTGTACCCTGTGTTCTCCTCTGGGTTCCCTGTACCAACATGTGCGCGCCTGTGTATAGATGTAATAATATCTCGTAAGAATAATGTTTGCACTGAACGACCTAGCGTCATCGGTATTGACTGTCAGTCTCCTGCCTGAAAAACTCGCGAGTATCTGCTGCTTACAAATAAAAATTTAAGACAAGGCGATTACAAGGTACATGCGCCCGAAATATTTGACAGTGAGAGAAAAATAAAGGGCGAATGATTCGGACGGTGTGACATTTTACCAGGACACACCTACACCTACGCAGCTCCTTCTTCGGTACTATTCCCTTACGTGTACCATATCCCATGTACAGTAGGAATAGAGAAAGAAGAACTGAGAGAGAGAGAGAGAGAGAGAGAGAGAGAGAGGAAGCAAGTGCGCAAATTAAAACGCCTCATAAATATCAGAAACAAAGGCGGCCTGCTTTCGAGGGCGTACGCTACTGTACGCGCTCCTTCTCTCTCTCTAGCTATACGGACAAGATATACGGCCCACGAGGAAAAGTGCTGCGCCACCGGCGTTACCTAACCGTGGCCCCCTTCCCCTGCACACACACATCCCCATCGCTTCTCCGCAAACCGTACCTCGTGCGCGCGTCTCGTTCTTTATTTCTTCTCTGGTATTTTTTTTTTTTTTTTTTTGGCCCATCGAGGGGGTAGGGGTGGGTGCACGGCCTAGAGGGTCAAGACCTGCTGGATTATGGCTCGGTGGATGCTAGTGCTGCACAGTTTTTGGAACAACTGGACAGTGTCGCGTCGAGGAGGATAAAAAACAGAGGGAGATTTTCTTGTCTGGGATCAGTTGGTAGTGACCCATACCGTGGTGAAGTGTTTTTTTTTTTGGATTGACTGTGTTTTTTTACATCTAAATTTTCAAATTCTAACGAGTAAACTCTAAGTCTCTACTATATGATTAAAATATCAATACTTATTGAAATATCAAAGGAAATTTAAATACTCACAAACAATATGGTCTGACGAAGTCACTACAGAATGTCTTGATGTAGTACACGAAAGCCTGCACTGTGAAACTGTTGAGTGATCCACTGAAGGCGATCGACAGTACATAAACTACCTGTAAGACAAAATGCTACACATTACACAATGTAAAGATATGAAATCATTTTTATTTGCTGCACAATTTTAATTCGCATTTAAGTTTGGATTCAGAAGCTCAGAGCTTAGAAAAAAAAATTAAGAGGAATGAAGGAAATAAAAGACAGTTTTATGTCCCATACTAGTAACTGGACTTAATAATATAGAAATTTATTGATCTTTTTTACAGATTGAAAAATTGTTTACTTAGCATACGATTACATAATTTCTTACTTTGCATACTCATTGAGTTACTCTACATAAAGAATTTTTTGTACAAAATATTTTTTAACTTTCTGATAATCAAAGATATCACTAACTTATAGTTGAAGATGAAAAAAAAATATTATCAAAAAAGTTCAGCGGATCACGACGTAAACGACGTCACACACATTAATCTCAAACCGAATCAATAACATCATTTATCCTAATGTTGTAATTTTCATCGTATCTTACGTGGATTGTTCTTACAGAGGTGACGTAGAGTGACATTAGGCGATGGCTTCCAAAAGTATACTTTATTTGATAATTTGAGACAGTCTTGTCACTCAAGCCAAGTGACACTGCAGTAGAGTTTAGTTTAAGCTACGATATAATTTAAATTGAAAAGTATTGGAAAATGAGGGCAACACAAAAGTTGCATCCAGCGAATTATTTGCCTGAGTCTGCTCATGCGTTGTAGGGTGTGATTTTCTAGCAAAACTCCTTGGACACTGTTTGCTGCCGGAGGTGTTATCATTTGTGCGATTTTGTTCGTGCCTTGTAAGGCTGGATTTCCGATTAAAACGTTTTAAGCACAGTTTGCACTCGTAGGGTTTATCACCTGTATGGATCTTCTCGTGCCGTGTAAAGTTTGATTTTTTAAGAAAATTTTTTAAACACATTTTACACCTGTAAGGCTTGTAGCCTGGGTGAGTCCGCTCGTGCCTTAAAAGGTCCGACTTTAGAAAAAAACTGTCTGAACACAGTTTGCACTCGAGGAGTTTATCACCCGTATGATTTTTCTCATGCTTTGAAAGGTTGATTTTACGAGTGAAATTATTTGAACACAGTTTGCAGCTGAAAACCTCGTCAGCAGCGTGAACGCGTTTGTGCTTTCTAAGATCTATTTTTTTAGCAAAACTGTTGGAACACAATTCACATTGGTAGGACTTCTCGCCAGTGTGAGTACGCTCATGTACTGTAAGATTCCATTTATTAGAGAAACTTTTTGAACAAAGTTTGCAACCGTAGGGTTTGTCACCTGTATGAATCCGCTTGTGCCTCGTAAGATCCGAATTTTTGATAAAACTTTTTGAACACATTTGGCAGCAGTAGGGCTTATTGTCACCCATATGAGTTTTTTCGTGCCTTGCAAGGTCCGATTTTCGAGAAATATTTTTTGAACACAGTTTGCAGCTGTATGGTTTATCCCCCGTATGAGTTTGGTTGTGCCTTAAAAAGCTAGATTTCCTAGTAAAACTATTTGAACACAGTTTGCAGGTGTAAGGCCTGTCATCAGTATGAATTTTTATATGATTAGTAAGATCAATTTTTTTAGTGAAACTGTTGCAACACAATTCACAGCGATAGGGCTTATCATCTGTATGAATCTGCTCGTGCGCGACAAGGTGGCACCTTTCAGTAAAGGTTTTGTAACACACCATAGAAACATAGGATTTAGTACCTTTGTGGATAAGTTCATGCCTTTTAAGAGCGTCATTTGTCCTGCAATTTTGACCACATACCTCGCAAGAATGATAACTGCTGCTTTCAGCCATATTTGTGAAAAATATATTACAGACGTTCACGCTAGCTTATGATACTTAATTAGCTATGTTCTAGCTTTTTCCGTATTTTTTTTTATGACTGCTTATCTAGTAATATTCTTGCCTTGGCTTGATAACGAGGGTCGTTTGGTTAATAAGTTGATCCCCTGTCAAACATAGATAATAAGCCATTTTTATTCTCATTTTTTTAAGTAATTGACTTTAATTTTTTAAAATAAGTATTATTGATATCGATCGCCATCAAAGCTGACTCATTTGAATATCGATAAAATAAAATTGAACTATTCAATCAATTAGTTAAAAATATGTTTTACTTGGTCATTCACTTTTTACTTTTTACTTGGTGTGATTGAAATAAAAATTTACCTTTAGTTTGCAGATTTCTAATCGTAAGATTAAATGATCGTTGTGTTGTTGTCCAAGCATTTGTTGTGGTTAATTTTTCCGTAAAATTAATTACAGCTCCTACTCTTAGTGGAGTGATGGGTACTTTATCGTGTATTCACTGTATTCAAAAATTCACTTAGAATGCTTTTTCCATACTATTGCAATTAAATAAATATATACATGTATAATATAAGTAATTTATACCTGCCAAATATTATCACAATGTTTTTGCCAAAGTAAGTAAAAAATTATTTTCTCGTAGACAGATGAAGAACAGCGGTGTGTTTGGTTCAATAGTTGTATTAGATATGAGATGTGGAAACAATTTATTCTAGAATATCGTATTTTAAAAATCAGGCTGGTATAATTAATGATATATTGATAGATTTTCACTGGTTTCGTAAATTTGAGCGGATAGGGACTGTTTCTTGGCAACTGTTTTTGAAATCCAATGTGATAATACATTATTAGAACTATTCGTTTTTAATTTTTTTTCTCCGCGACAATAATCGCCAAGTTGATGATGAAAGATGCAGACAGTTTTTTTATTCTTAGTTTTTTTTTTTTTTAATTGTTTTATCAAAACCTAATAAAAATAGATATAATTAAATTGTCTATTAAAGAAAAATTTTTACACAACAAAAAATTTTCTACAACTTCGGAGGTGGAACCTTACATCTTGAGTATTCAATAATAACTGTCCAAATTTTGTATTGCGTATACAACCCCTAGTTTGTTTTAACGGGACTGCTATTACGACCTTAAACTTTAAAAACATATAAAACAGTTACTTCAATAAAACTTTTCTCAACAGCATTAACATTTGATAATTAACAAAAAGTCTTTAAACGTTGGTAAATTTTGCTACATTTGAAGAAACATGTAGCAGTTGATCTTGTTCCTAATGTCAGATTTCTAATGCCTATCCAAAAGAAATCATGCAGATTTTTCCAGACCCCCAATATATCTGCAAGATTTTTTTCAGATGGACATTAGACGTATGTATCTTCTGGATAATTTTAAACAGAATCGCATGCCACGAGCTATTATCCATATATTGATCAAAATGCCAATAAAAAAGATAATATCAAAATTGATGCAAGTTAATAAACCTTTATTAATTTCTACTCTGCGCAATGTGCCTCTGTATCCTTACAATGCATTGTTTCATATATACGTTTGTCATGTAATGTTTTGTTTGTCACTGTTGCAGGTAAGTAGTGGTGTCCGATTGGTAGCGAAAAAGCGAAGACCGTGCCCCCGGAGTCGCACGGGGCCCGCCGGCGAGCCGGACGGGAGATATGCGAAGCAAGCAGCAGCCGAGGCCTTCCTTCCGGTGGCCGCAGCAGCGCGGCGATAACATTCCCGGTAAATACTTACGCACTACACTTATACATGCATACTCTTGCAAACGTCAAATGCACGCTCATCTGCCCCTATATTACCATGTTTGCAACTACACGTATGCTTGCACTACTCTGTACATGCACCTGTCTATATGTCATACAACTAAACCTATACTATCGATATAAGTACACTAACTTTTTTCATTTGCATTTTGTCAATGTACCGGGGGAGGTTTCGCTTCTTTTTGCACTAAAATTTTATTTTCAACCCTGCATGCGTTGTTGCATGTGTGAATCTAGACAATCTTGGGACTTGACTGTACCCAAGCACGTATACTTATACAGGTGCATATAGGCTACGTACAGCGGGCTCCATGTGAATTATCTCACGCGAGTTCTGGTACAAAGGTACATTTCGTTGTTGCAAGTTTATTGAGCTCCGGCATTGTAAGGAGAACAAACTTTTTCTGTACCTAGAGAGATTTTGCTTCTACAGCATTTTGAGCCATTTTTTTTTTTCAGTTTTCAGTAACGTAATCATGTTCATACAACGTTCAAAACATTAGTAATCCGATAAATTGGATAAATTAAATGTGGAATACATTAATGCAAAAGAGGACACAGATTTTGGAAAATACTACAAGAGATTTTAATGATGATCATAAATAAAAGCTTGAGCAAATCAACGTTCGACCATATAAAGTATAGTCCCGGTTATACACCGTTCAAACGCAATTCCTCCGTTCCACACGCAATGCACCGAGACGCAGTTATATACTCCAGTTTCGTTAATGATTTTTTCATAGAGATATGGGCTTTAGCCACCCCCTTCACACACACACATTCGCCATTAATCATTTTAATTGGGACCCGCGGATACGCGATTGTTCCGCGACGATTAGGGCGATTTCTATCTTTAATTTTGCGGGAGATGGGTGGTACATACAGGAAGGGAACGGTGCTCTTGAAACCGCACCTTCCAACCTGTCGCACGTGCGTCTTGCTAATCGTGTACCTGAGCACTTTGTTCCGGAGGATATATTTCACCATGTCCCGGTGGCCGTTATTATCATCTTTTTCTCGTTGAATTATGCACGCAACGATGTTATTATAGCGTTTTATTAAATTCTCCAGCTACTAATCAGCCTCGGTAATTAGGCTCTCCGGTTCAAAGGGAGAGGTCTAGCCGAGTTCATATGCTTTTTTTTCCAGGTCGATGTAGCTTTGCTACGGATGAAAAATAAAATGTTGTAATAATGTGACATAAATGTGATTTAATTTACCTTAGAATGTAAGGACATCGGTATCATGTAAACATGGTTTACTCTTGGTAAAGTACTCGAAATACCAAAAACTTACTTGTCCGATTTTTCAAACGAATAGTGGATTTTTTCTGATCGTGTCTAGGCCTCCAAGGGCCTACTACAAAAAAAGTCAAAGTAAGGTCTCTAATTGTAATATCGGTACGGAAAGATAGATGATCTGTTGGAGCGATTCTTTCATTAGGAGTATGTGAGTTGTCTAGAGACACTTGCACGAAAGACTTGCATATACTTAGTTAGGAAAAAGGATTTATGTGGGTAAAAACTCAGGTATGTGTGGAAAAACAAATTACTAGTACAATTTTATCTTGTAACTCCACCAATCGATTTCAATCTTACTGGGACAAAATTTTTTCTAAAAAACCACATTCCATCCGGGTGTTTGGTTTTTTAAATTTTTATTCATTGTAGTTTTCAAAAACTACTTTTTTCCATTTTTCTCCGTGAGAAAAATAAAAAGTAACTGAAAAAATTTTTGGTAACTAAAAACGATTAAAAGAGAAAACAGATGATCCATCTCTGATAAATTTTGACCGAAAATTTGTATAATATGCCCACGGGGGACTTTTGGTTCAACATAAATAGTTATGATTAACAATTGCCGCATGTACAATAATAAAAGGCACGAGATGGGCCATTGAAGTATCCCTACTGATACGTTAATTATTGACACGTGGACCGCACATCCGATAAGGCTCAGTTGTAATTGACGTCGGGACGATCATACACGAGTAGTTTATCTAATGTGCGGCTACACGTTTGATAGCCCGTTGTATGATTGTCGAGTATCGCACGACAGACATTGTTTTATCGTTAATTAACGTTCATTCACTTTTGGCTTTTGTATTGTTCTTTGAAAATATTAAAAAATTAAAAAAAAATTGAAATTCAAACAACTTTTTGTTTCTGAATCAGTTTATTATCTGGTATGACGCCAATGTCAAAGCAATAATTATTTAAGGGATAATCTTGAATGTATTTTTATTTACATTAATGAAAACATTACTGACTTTGGCAGTATCTAAACTAAAGTACTATTGAAATAAAAAAAAAAAAAAAAAAAAAAAAGTTGACCCATGGATTGTTTGGGCTTTTTGTTAAAAATCTCATCAAAATGGAAAATTCAGAAAAACTGTTTGCTTTATTTGTATAAATAAAAAAAAAATGACAACAATGCATAAATGACGAAAAAAATCCACTACTCTTTCCGGCCCACACTTTGCTACTGAGCGCTAAAAGATTCCCTCCCTCCTAACTTTATGCAGCAACCATCTGCTTGAAACGAACACAACAGGCAGGTCACAGCCAGCACAGCAAGCTCATTTGCTCATTACCCAATTACTCGCGAGCGCGCCGAACGAGTTTTCAAGTAAGTTGTAAATCCGCAATTTAAAAGCGACGAGGCAATGACTTTGGCCTGCACCATCGGCCGCGCGTACAGTACAGTCGCGGTCGAACGAACAGTACGGGGGGCAATAAAACGCGACGCTCTCGGGTATTTTATTCGCTCGGTGAAATAACTTTGGCGCGTTCATTAAACGCCCGGTCGACGCGATTCCCCCCTCCCCCATACATTGCATTAAACAGGAAAGGGTGGGGGAATACTCGTCGAATCATCGACAACAATCGTCCGTGGAAACATCTTTAAATTCGTTAAAAGTCCTGCGCGTATAGTTTTATTTTTCACTTTCCAAAAGCCAAAAAAAAAAACCCGCCTCACGGCCTCGATATCATCACAACGACTCAAACCGGAGTCAAGAAAACGATAAATTTCGTCAGTCTGATACTCGGAGAAATGATATGGCGCCCGATTTTCGCAGGTATACCACCTCAGGACGACTGACGCGTGAATCACCTTTCACTGACTCATTTTTTATTTTTTCCTCCCGACGAGCGCGAGTATAATGTAGGATTCGTGTAACGCAAGGCCGTAAATCGCTTATTTACTGCTCTTGTCCAACTCGGATGCGCAGCGACGTGGAGGCGAAAATATCGTGTCTGATATATTTGTGCGGATAATCGTTTTTTTTTTTTTTTCCTTCCTTCCTTGACTCTTTTGCGAGAAAGTGCTAATAACAATAACGTGTCTGTCAAGTCACACGTTCCATGCATAATGAGCTAGAAGTGCAGGCAAGGACTTTTAGATTTATAGGTGGGTGGAGGTAGCTGATATTTATTTGTTTACGAGACTCGGGACGATTATTAATTCTGTATTTTTCGATGACGCGGGTTATACCACGATACGATGACGGTGTGAGTGACGAAAAAAAACGACATAGTAATCTCGTTCTGCTTGTCGTAAATTTGGTGATCACAACGCTGTGGTAAGAAATTAGTTGCAGAGTATGCATCGTAGCTAGTTTTTACTGTAGAGAGAAAATATTCTCGAAAGACAGCCATGATGGTAATTAAGAACAAGGGAGATCACGTACCGACAGGTTGAATTATATATCTGCGGCTTGCTGTTAATAGCGGTAAAACAAAGAGCGAGAGACACGTAGTACGTGACCTGTATTTCTACTGGAAAGGCTCTATCGCAGAATCACCACACATAGATTGGGTGCAATCGTTGGTAACTTTCGAAAAACAATCGCTCAAAGAGTCAAAAGCGAAAGGACTGATACCATACCAGCCCTCTGCGAGAGCAAATAGTCACAGCGAACCGGTAAATTGCATATTATTTGTGCATGAAAGGTAATGTAAAACTGCGCGTGCTTTTTCGCATGTCTGTGATCGACGGCCGATCTCCGAGAGACATTTTTCGATGCCAACCGAGCGGCTCCTTTCATCTTCTGCAAGTGTTTTATTTACGACACGAGAGTCACACCTGCATTGCGAGGGTTGAGTGTACTTTCACGTTCAATTGACGGAGGTTTCGTCATTTGTTTCAAGAAATCACAAGGCTTGGGCATTTTTGTAGAAATTACAGAGTTCTCTGCTCTGCTCTCTCGGGCTGTCGAAGTTTTTTTAAGTACCTAATCGTACGATTTTACTATTGTATCTACGTTTTTTTTTTGATAAACTTTTATTTATTTTTTTTATTTTCCCAACAAAGAAAGTCTGCTTTACACCACAGACCTTCGTCAGTCAAACAAAAAAAAAAAAAAAAATAAATAAAAAAAAAAAAAACCGTGACAGACATTACTGAAAAATTATTCTTGAGTTGAAGCAATTTGAAGCGAGTACTTATTTTTCAAGTACACGATCCCATGTCCACGTGTTTTCTGACATACTCAACTAATAACTCGATTATTTTCGTTTTTTTTTTTCCACATTACAGCAAAGCAATTCGGCGTCGGTGCGAATCCCGTAGCCGAGAGCTGCCTCTTTACTTGCTCCAATTCTCTTGCAACTTACTGTGCTTCTTTTGCACAATAGCTCGGGGCGAACGGAGCACCAAGCCAGACCTTCATGGGAATGAACGAAAAGTATGTGCGCCGGATAACAATTACCGCTTGTAAATCATAAGAGCGATACAGGAGATAATGATTCCTTGGGATTTTTCACTCTGGCTTGTTTCGGCGTTTGGTGCTCTATTTTTTCTCCTCACGCCTGATGCGTGTATACATGGATTTATCGATTGAATTTGTATGAACACTTTGCGAGGGGATCTCTTTTTTTCACTTTCTGCTACCGATGTATTTTGTATAAAAATAAACTAAAAAAAAAAATCCCAACAAATGAAGCGTGTTAAACACAA